ATTATTATTAAAAAGTAATAAGTATTTTTAAAATGTGTTGTTATAATATAATATAAATTATTATTTTTTAATGATTACTTATAATTGATTATGTTTTGGTAATATATTGCCGGCGCCAGTTGAGGATTTTAGAGGAGATAATGTTGATTATTGGCTTTTTTTCAGAACAGATGAAATATTTGATAGTCTTAAAGAAACTATTAACTATGCAGTCGGTATGACAACTATCTGTGGTTTTGAACTAATTATTTCAAAGCACTCAAAGGGAGGAACATTGAGGATTCTGAAGTGTAACCGAGGGGAACGTTATCGAGGTAATAAAATATCCAATCTTGTTAATGCTGTCCTCAGAAAGTCGAAAACAAAATTTACCGGATGCCTGTTTGAGATGAAATTGAAAAAAGTGGCCGGTACGAAAGATTCCTGGAGTGTATGTTTTCCTCTGGATGACCGGAAGGGATACCATAATCATCCGATGGTTTTGTATCCCGAGGGTCATCGACAGTTCAGCGGATTGAGTGAAAAGGCGAGACAGATCGTCCGTGACATGACAGCTGCCCAGGCAAGACCGACGGTAATATTGGCAGCGATACACGAGAAATACCCGACTGACAACGCGGTTCGTCAACAGGTTTACAACTATAGGGCTAGAATGCGATCAGAGAGTTTCGAGGGTAGAGATGTGACTTCCCAGCTTATGCATCTGGCTAGCCGGGCTAATTACATAGTTTTCACCGATTCTGATAAGGACAAACACACCTTGACACGTGTGTTCATGTCGCATCCCCAGTCAACCCTTCTCTTTCAGACATATTATTGGACGTCGGCATAAATTCGACGTACAAAACCAACAGGTACGTTAATTTATAAATAACAATTTAGTACGAATCTTAATTATTATTGTCTGAGTATGTACGTTTTTTTATTCTTAGTTTGATTTTGTTGCCTTCATTTGCACAGGTACAAGATGCCGCTTGTGGAAATAATAGGGATGACGCCGTGCAACAAGAATTTCTTGATTGCATATGCAATTGTGAAGGACGAGAGCCAGAACAGCTACGACTGGGTTCTGAAGCGGTTGAG